CGCGGTGGGGTACAGTCTCGAGATAAGCGGTAGTGGTAGTGATGTGAAACATTCGTGGGTCGGGGCTGGTTGGCGGCATCGCCAGGCAGGCAAGCACTAAGGTAGGCCAAGGGAGCGGTACGGTAGAAGTTAGGTGCGAGACGCGGAGCAAGAGCGGAGGAAACGGCACGGCACGGCGCGGCGCGGCGCGGCGCGGTTTCGGCTTCTCGGCATCGGCTTCGGAAATGGCCGCGGGAAAGTAGAGAGCGGAGGCCGGAGCGTTTCGTCGCTGGCTGGCAGGCTGCTGATTCGGTTGGTCGGTCCGTCGGTTGGTTGGCCGGGTTGAATCGGTCGATCGTGGTTCCAAGTTTTCGGAGCACCGTGCGCTCGTTTATCCGGCTGCTCGTTCGGGGCCGCGCGATCGATTCACGCGCACCAGACGATCTCGCAGACCAACATGAGATGTGAGAGCGGCGCATCACCGAGGAAACTTGAGAAGACGTCGTTGGGAAACGGAAACGACCTCGACGGTGGTGAGGAATGGCGCTTGGTCGGTATGGTTCCTTGCTCCGGTCCGGTATGCGAGAAGAGGATGGCCGGCGACGACGGGACGACGACGAACAATGAGATCCTCGGTGCGGAGGGTGGGGAAGAGGGGCAGGGTACGTCAGCGCGAGGGGAACTGCATTCCAGAGTGGGCGGCATTCTGGAATGCGATCCCCCCGGTAACAGGAATTCGTCGAACGAGCGACCCGCCGCCACCGCCGCTGCTAACAACGAGGACGGTGTCTGCCGATATGCGGTCGGCGCTGCTAACCGCGCTATGTCTTTCTTCGAGATGTGCCAGGTATCGTAAATAACGACGACTAACGGCTCATCGGCCGACACTCGTGCCGGTCTGATTATGTCAATGTCCACGATTATTTAAATCACAGTCGCGAATGTAGAAAAAGAAACTTATCGGACTCTTAATTTTGCGTTTTACAGCGTAGCTTCCCGTTGAATACAAACTGACAGTAACATTATTATATCAATGTCATAATTTGCTATAGTCAATAATGTAACTGTTATGTATAACATGTGTCATCACATTTATCTTCCCACACAGCACAGACATCCAAAAGACGTTCTAAAGACATTTAAAAGATGTTACATTCTAAGAACATTCCCAGGGTATTCGTAGGATGTTGTGTACTGTCTAGGTTGTGGAGTGGAAATTATAATATTGATGTAAAATTACTGTGTCGGTTTGTATTCAGCAGGTTTTGCGATAATTACGAGAACAAAAGTCAAACTATAGTTATTCACAAAGCTGTATTTGTCCTTTTAGATTCGACTACAATATTTGTTCCCGCAACTGAGTCCACCCCCACGTTACAATATCCACGATGATTCCATAGAATCGACTGCGGAAATCTTGGCCAATGATGTGATGCGATATTTGTTGAAAGAGGACATCTATCTTATATCCCAGGATCCAGTCTCCCGCAGCATGAGACACAATGTATATCAAATGCTCAACAAACACAGCATTCTCTTTACGAGTATGGTAAATCGTTTAAACGTCGTCCCGGATACTGCTTATGAAACATTCATGGGGGTCGCCAATGAGCTGTTCTTACACGGCGTTATCACATGGGCCAGAATTGTCTGTTTATATGCTTTTATGGGCAGATTGGCTTTATGGGCTAGGGATAGAAGAATGCACAGTCTTAAAAAAAAATTGCCTTTATACGTCTCTAGATATGTTGGTGAAAATATAACACATTTTATCAAAGGCTATGGTGGATGGGTAAGTGAGCGCAATTATTAATTATTATGATGAGTATTTCAAATATTTCGTCACACAAACCTGACGTTGTCGTTTTGTAGGAACAATTATGTGTTGAGTATCCTGTAGCCGAAGAAGTTAGTGGAGCAGTTTGGCGGAGTCTACTAATGACAGGAGCTACTCTTGGTTTGATCGCCACGATCTTGTCAGTGACTTCCTGATGGAACCTTACGAGATCGTGTGATCTGAGTATGTTTTGTTGTCAAGAAGCTTTCGCGTACTTACATTCTATGAGAACACTTTCAAATGAAATGTAAACAGATTTTTATAACGAAGGCGCAATGTTACATTTCACAATGGAACGATTCGATTCAAACGGAGCTACGTCTATACGAGAAATATGCAAAATTAACAAGAGATACATCAACGCGTTGACACACATAATTTTCATATCAATGTCACTCGGGCTTAGAATCATCCTACTTTTTATATAACTCGAACATACATAGCATGAGCGACAGACAATGACGCTAGTTTCCTATTACAATACCTTATAACAGACTAGTGAAATTAGTAAAATATCTTATTTAATTCTATACAATAGACATTTTATATATTAAAGTAATTCCTAATAATAATACTCAAAATTTTGAAGAAATTTTTTAGAAATTTACGCAACAAGAAACAGGAATCTCGAAATTGTATTGAATTTAGGTAGACGCAATCTATTTATTTATAATTTATTTTAGGTAGAGAATATATTAAATAATAAATTTTTCGAGTATTTTTGGTCACAGAACCGATCGCCACCACACACTTTTAAATTTTAAGGGATATATGTAATACCGAAAAAAACGATGGCTACGAACTAAACCATCATGTATATTCAAATAATGGCTACTTTTTTATATGTTGATATATTCTATTACACTTGCAAAAATTTTATATGCATATTCAGAATAAATACTTTTATAAAATAACGATCGTTCTCCTGTAATCATTATTGTGGAACAAGAGAGAGATTTAAAAATGCCTACTACAAAAATAATTGTCGATCAATAATTCTCGCAATTCTACAAAAGATTTAATGTCATTTTCTATCTTCCGATCCCATTAGTATTAAAACATATACAAGTGTGCATTATTCGTGTTTGCTACAAAATTAATAATTTCTCATACACTATCAAGTATCGTATTATCAATGGAAGTTTACAGGGTACAGAGAGCAAGTTACTGTTATAAACATTTAAATATAGTTTTATGAAGCGATTTATACTACTACAAATAAAAATCCCTCATAAAATAATATAAAGACTTATTTACATGGTGTAAGTATTTTTGTTTTCTTGGAAGACATCGACTCCACATCGTTAGAGCCTTTTTAATGTATCATAAATTATAAGTGATAAGTTTTAATATATTGTTGTATACTATGACAAAGGGGATCGATCTTAATCACTACGAAATACTGTAAGTGACGTTTGATGTAGTATATGTTTGCAAATAATCAAAAAATGCTGACTATGTAAAATAATACTATCATACCTGAAATGAATACAATCTTCCTAACTTATCACTATGTATGTAATCTAAAATTTAAAACATTTATTAATGAGGAATAATAAAAGGCATTGATGTTTAACACTTATACACAAGTAGCTTGGAAATAAGAAATGTAATTATTTTCTGTAGAATGTCTTGCAATGATACAGATTAACAAAATAATCAAACATAAGTAACAATTCAACATTTGCATGCGTACAATTATATTTAAAATAACTTATTTAAAATAGATTACGTTGTATAGAATTTTGGCTTATTGAGATTTACATGTGCAAATGCGAAAATGATCTAAACTATAAATTTTTTTACAATGAGTATATTGTATAGTAGGATGCTGGGATAATAACTTGCCTCTTTTTATTTTTTATAACCAAATTGGAGGATACATTTCTGCTAAGGAAATATATTAACCATCATTTTCATCATTGAAATCTCATACATAGGTATTTTCATACTCATGACACTACTGAGATCTAAATTACTTAAGATTTACAGTGTATGTATGTATATATGTGGATGGATGTATGTATATATATTGCAGTATTTACAATATATATTATATATTTATAATTATATATGTTAACAAAAGACAACACCGAACAATGATCAGAAATCTATCCCTAAGGATCTTAGAAACATGATAATGTATGATAATGTACGTATTGATTTATAGCTACAAAAGTAAAGTCACGATTCTTTCTATATATATTACACTTTACTAGTAAAATAGTTTATTTTATTATTGTATAAGTTTTGCCATTAAAATACTCATAAATACTAAATACGAATGAATAATGAAATTCTTGACACAAGTTTGTAATCTATTCCAATTAAAATCCAATTAATTGTCTACTTACGGTGCCTTTTCGGATATGTCTGATAATTTGACAGCTAAACGTTTTAATTTCATATATGTCACACATTTTTTTCATGAATACGAAGACTTGGCCTAGAAGTTCAAGTTTGGGTCATATACAAGAAATTTTGAACATTTACGAGTTTTATTTTTTTATACAGGATAAAGTTCTTTAATACGCTGTTGTAGTTTACTGAATTGAATGAATACAGATTATAAAATCACAAACTAGAGGGGAAATTCTGGCGAGTATATCTAACAATTTCCTTATATCTAGTCAAATTTTGCGACTGTACAGAAAACAACTGCATTTCAACTTTTACTTCAGATCCTAATGTGCATAATAGTAAGAATTAACAATTTCGGTTCAATAAATCTTCAAAATTAGATATCTATTTTGCTATTATTGATATTACTATGTTTAAGTATTATGCATTTGTGTGTGGATATATATACTATATTACTGTACAAACGGAAAACTCATTTCGTCTGCCACTTATATTGACAATTATAAGTAATTATCTTATTGTAGTTAACCTTCAATTAGTTAGCTAAACATATCGTCAGCGTTATACATGTAGATAGCAATCAGATTAAATAAAAAAAGGAACACTGAACTAAAATAATAATACAAAACACGATAATAAAGATATTTCTAATTAAATTGGAAAATAACTAAATAAAATTTATGTAGATCTTAATTATATACTTATATTATCACATACGCATATGTATAAAGTATTAAAAATCGAGATATAATAATGCAAGACAAAAAATTTACATATATAAAATATTAATTTACAAAAAGAAAAAATGATAACAGTATTTTCTTGTAAGTCGATAATTGTAATGTTCTACTTTTACATGCAGAGATGGAATATGGTACATGTGAAAGATATCACAAACTTGGCCCCCTTTAATCTGCACAATGTCAATATGAATATAATTAATTGATATTGTAAATAATTTATTTGTAAAAAAAATAAAATATATAACAGAAAAAAGGCAGAATTACATCTTTACAATAATGGAACATATTCTGTATTTAAGCATCTTTCACGAAAACAGTACACAAGCAAGAATGAGAAGAGCTATCAAACATGAATACATAGAACTGACGATATGCATATAGATAATTTAGTGTTTTTAAACATTGGCAGTTGTAGCCTGGACGTATTGTGGTCCAAAATAGAATAAAACAGTTGGGATAATTTATTTGAATTGTACCTAACTTATTTTAAACAGTTATCCTTAAAATATTAAGGGAAGAAGAAACTAAGTTTTCAGGATTTAAAACCTTTCAATTCGCCTAACATCAATAAAATATGCTAAATAAAATAATAAATTTTTAGCGAAGTCACATTTACATCGCAATATGTAAGTATATTGCGAATAATGACACACGTTCGTCTTAATGAATATAACTTTTTTTAAGATTTCCTAAAACAATGGGACATTTTTATCAAGAATCAAGAATCTACAATGATGTACAATACACAGCAAGCGCAAATCAAAATATTGTCCAATCAACTTGTTTGTGATCGGATTGAATTTTAATAATTTGAGTTCAATATTAATCATAAACGACATTATAGGTGTTGTGCCACAGAGCATATTATGTATAAAGTGCATACAACACGTTCATCACTTTGTGACATGCTCCATTTTTGTCTCTTGTTAACTCTTTCTTGGTTTATCACAGTTGGGGCAGAGGTGGGAAGGAAGAGGACTCGTATCACCCCAAAAAATGAAACTAGCAAGAATCCTCTATTCCTTATAATCCCACCATTCTTTTTCATACCCTTCATGGACATGTTCTAAAAGCACTTTTCTTCGGCTATCGCAGTATCTTTAAAAACACACACACAAATGTAATATTATTTTGACAAGAATACAAACAAAATATCTCATTTTTTTTAAGAATAATGCATAATCTTTACCTATATTTATCCTGAACCTTTTGTTTAATGTCTGCAAGATTTTCGCTCGTGATATCCCTTTCAAGATATTCAGAGAGGCACTCTGTGGCACTCTCCAGATCCTTTTGGTTATCCTCAAAAATCACAGATTGATTGTTCTTTTTCACATAATATGCGAAAACATAAGTGTACATGAGAGTCTGTCTACAGGAACACAAAATATCAACTGCCTTTTTTAAAAATTGTACCTGAAAAGAGAATTTGATATATTTAAATAATGTTGACAAATAATGATGTATGTACAGTGGCTACCAAAAGTTTTCGATCAACATATAACTATTTTTGTTAAGGTTTTTTAGTTTATAATTCTTAATAAATAATTCTGTTATATTAATTTAAGAATACAATATTTTAAATATTAGAATATAGTAAGCTTTGGTAAATAATAGTTTAAATAAATAATAGCTTTGGTAATATAAGTCAATACAGGTATTGTTCTGTCTTTATTATTCATAAAATGCTAAGAAAGATAGTTCATCATGGATAGAACAACATTTGTGGACTTGTGTTACTAAACAGAAAGCACCTTAATCATTAAAAAAATACCAATATACTAAATCTTTATTTGTAAAGATTTATTGTCTAAGCAATACGATAAAATTAATCATTAGAAACTTTTATTAGTCATTGTATATGTAAATATTATTCTATTCTTATTATTATTTATACACACTTTCAATGCGTAACTTTCTATACATATTGGTTATTGCAAAGAATATTGCTAAGGCCTCGATGATCTAAAAGTTTAGGGTCCATCAACTACTTTAGGGTTTTATCAACTTTTAGTTAAATTAATCTACTCGCAGAAGTGCCAATAGCAGTTTAATGTACCAAAAGTCTCCTCTCCCTTCCTCTTCTGAGATAAACTGTGTTTAGTTATCACATTGGTAATTGTAATGATTGAGTTAACCACTAATTAGCATTAATCGGAGTTAGCGAAAGAGGCCCTTAGAACGCTCGCACAGAATGCTAGAGATCCGAATTCGACTCCCGACCGACGTAATATTTTTCGTAATGAGTTCTTTATGAGTTTTAAAATGTATGTAATTAAATTTGGGGGGATTAATATAATATTTCAAATGGATTATGTTGAAAGTTCAATAGTAATGGTGCGCAATCATATTTCTAAGATAAATTCATTTAAAGAATATGTATATGTATTAGTTTAATATCTAACTTTGCCAAATGGCGTTTCTCGTATTTAGGTAATATATTCACATAAACGGTCTTGTTTCCAATCTTATTATTGTATATATAAAATATATTAGGGATGCATCGGATCATAAAATAATAGTACATAAATTTAATTTAACTAATTTAATTTAAATTATTTATATTATTATATTATTATTATTATTATTATACCTCAATCCACGACATGTTATGTTGCTGCATTTCTTCCATCTTCTCTTTTACACTAGCGTACAATTTACTTTCAAACTTTAGTGATTGCATATGATTCATATATCTATTGCAATAAAATAAATATCTCTGTAAAGCTGATCTGGATTTTTCTTGCGCATCCCTGGCTACTTTAGCTTCCTCTTCATCGTAACGATTGCAATTATACCAGCTAGAACCATGCGGTTCCCAAGGTCCAAGACATACCCAACAAAATTCAGTTTTACAACTCTGATTTTTGCAAACCATATGATTACATCCGCCATCTTTTTCGATAGTAACATTACACTTGGGACACTCCTTTGTGTTGGCAGCGATCCAGTTTGATGTTTCAGAATCATCATCGCACTTTTTGATCCATTTGCGGAGTAAATGACACTTTACAGGATCGTGCCAGTTTTCGCCACAATGGAAACAGAAGATATGTCCACATTTGCAAGTAACTGGTCTCGCTTCTACATACTGCACCTTAATGGCATTATTGCAATCAGGAGAAGGACACCATCTCAGTAACCTATTGCACTGTAAAGAAGAGAGATGTGTGAAACGTTAATAAGATCCAATAAATTTAATTGCATTCGTCAAATATTTACTTCAACAAAGCTATTGGTGATTAAATGTTGATATTTTAATTTAACTTTGGAATCTTTGACAAGTCGCATAACACTGGCATCGTCGACTAAAATGTCACACGCGTGAGCAGCACATGCTATTGTTTGTCCAACTCCTTCTTCCATGATCTTAGTTGTCAAGTATTCACCCCAGCAACCGGTACAAAAACGATGTCCACATTCCAGACCAGTCATCATCTAATGATTTTTATAATATGTTTTTTTTTGCATATTTTATTTTATTACTATTTTTTAAATAGCTGATAATAGACTTACTGAAGATGGCAAGATCATGAAACAGATGCCACATTCTTCCGTTCCGTTTGTCGGTCTTTTAGGCTATATTACAAACATAGATAAAATATAATTTTTGTAGTGACTCATCGATAACAAAATATAATGGAAATAAACTATACGTACATTTACTAACGAACTTTGGGAGGACCGGCTCCTGCTTATTAAAGGGCCCTTTCTAAACGGATTAATGACGCGTGCCTCGGCAAACAACTTTTCTTGATCACCGTCGTAAAACCGTTCCATCAATTTTTCTTTATCCCATTTAAAGTGATTTAATAAAATACGTGTGGTAGTAGCTGGTATCTACAAATCAACACATGTAGGTACAGGTAAGTAAATATAATATTGTATATCTATATTTTCTTATTTCGAGGAAAGTAAAAGATCTAAAACACAATTAAAAAACACAGGCAATGGGAAAAAACCACAGATTTTAATCTATAAAAAATCATGTATTCTGACATACACGGTTTCTAGAATTGTTATTCCCTATGTTTTTTAATTGTATCTCATCCTAAAGATTGATTGTGTATCTTAAAACTAAATAGAAATTACAAAAGTTAATAAATTCACTAGAATATTTATAATTTCATTGGACAATATATTGTAATTTTTATCTTGTTTCAATTAACCTCCTGATTCTATATTAGTTGCAAGTCAATCGCAAGCTTGCTTTGCAATAGCTATTCTAAAACATTAATCTAAAAATTGACACTTCAGATTGATCGTCGACAACAAGCTTGCAATTAACTTACAATTAACCTTCCTATGATAAATTTTTAAGATATCCAGAAAAGTAGGATTGCATCTGACTCAATGCTGTCTTGTTCATCTAATCAATATAACAAAATGGGTAAAAAGTAAATAATATATACCATGAAACTTCTCTTTCTGTTAAATAATGCATAAACTCTATAATTAAGCGAAGATACTATAGGATCCTCAGTACTATAGGAGGGTAATGTAGAATCAGGGTCACTTCGCCGCTGCACTAGACAGGTATTACATTTGTCGTACAAAGCATTTCAAGCCAATTGATTGGCTGCAAGAAAGAAAAGTTGTCGAATCTCTCTATTCTATAGCTAATCAACAAATTTAAAATCTTTATCATACAACAAACGTAATATCAGACAAATGTAATACCTAGCCTACACTAGACTACTATAACTTTCCATCTCACTTTCGTTAAACTTCAAATATATATCTATTTCATTTTAAGTGCAACAAGTATACATCAGTTTATCCAACAAAGAATAGACTTAATTTTATCCATCACTCAATTGAATGTATAAAGCCAATTTGAGCCAGTACAGGGTATACGAACAATTTCTTATTTTATTTAAAAGTGTATATAATACATATAAACGCGTTTTGATCCATTTTGGATCCTCCTGAATATAAGTAATATACAAACTATAATAATTACAATTACGATGTCATTTACATAAATGGTTAGAATATATTCTCCAGCAAACTTCTTTGCATCAAGAATATATTTATCTGACCATTTATATAAATATGACATACCGTAATTGTAATTATTAAAGTTTGCGAATTACTTAAAAGGATCCAAAACATTTATATGTATTATATACACCTTTAAATAAAATAAGAAATTATACTCTTACACCCTGTGCTGGCTCAGATAGACTTTATACATTCAATTGATTTACTCACTAGGACTTAAATTGGAATTTTTATTGTAATTTATCTTTAAATTATATAGCTTACTTCGACAACAGTGTTGACTTCCTTTATGGAGTCAACCATGTGCTGTACAATTTCTTCTGTGGAAAGTACTTCAAAGGGATACTCGTCGACATCGGTAGCTCGCTCCCGTGGATTACCAGACTCTATTTCCATAGCAAAATCAACGTCATCGCCGCTGGACTCATTGCCAGAGTCAACATCATCATAAAGCGTTTCCTCTTCCGAATCCATTGTTTCAATTAGCGCGCTTCTAGTCTTCTGCACTAACGTTTTTTTTACTCTTTTTCTCGAGCAAAGTAAACTATCGGATCGTTCCTATGAACGTAGCATCTACTGCAAGAAGCTTCCAAGGAAGTCGTGCTGAGTTGATCCAATCAACGTTCCTTCCTAAATACCATATAAACGTAATCACTTTAGGAAGAAGAAATTTTAATTTAAACGTTAATACGATGTAGAATCTCAACGATCGCGGCGGGGGATTTACATTTTTATGTGTATTCGACGGAATTTAGAAATACTGCGGGATCGATCATAATTGACGAATGCGAAGGGAGAGTGAAGGGCGACAGAAATTCCGCGCGAGATTTCGAGGATCCAGACGCACCTGCCGCGAGGAAACGGCTTATGTCTCCGTACGTGACATCATTGTTCTCCGACGCTGCCCGAAACAGCATCCGGAGCGGATGTCTTTTGGTATAAGTGCGCGCGCGTGATCAACTCTGACGCGTACACGTCCGAATCCTCTCGGCGCGGCGCGAGATGCTCGACAGATTTTTACCCGACGTTTCCGTTACGGGGAGAGAGAAAAGGGAACAAAGTCAGCTATACCAAAACATCCGAGATGAACTCCGGCAGCGGACGCGCCAGCAGCTAATCTCACGGCGAAGCGAAAACGTTCGCGCTGCTCGGTCGGCCGATTGCTACACTTCACGTCGTACAGCAGACACTCATGATGGAAGAAACACTATACGGACGATGTAACTGACGGCCAACCGGGCAGACGGACGAACAACATACGACGTATCGTACATGCACATACACTTGCAAGAATGATGTTTTCGCACTGTTCAAGCCTCAGCTTCGGCGGGAAAATTGCAGGTCACGAGGCCGCGCGCCTAAATGCGGACGCGCCTCCGCAAGCTGTCGGAGGCGTCTACTTTTGAGTTCGATATTGCATGCCCCGATATAAATATATACGCGCGAAGGACAAGTCCGCGTGCGTGTACGTGTGATACGCGCGGCGCGTGTGCTGCAACTCCGATTCGCTAATTAGCACACGCGCGCGTTTATAATAAGGCGCGACACATTAGTTCAAGGGCAATATCGATCGCGCACGCGAGGAGGGACGCTCGAAGAATCTCCGTACTCTTGGTAAGACTCTGACTCTGGCGAGCATCCTGTCAGAGTATATCGCTCTGACTAGAGTATTTATATTGGAGCTAAACTGCGTTCGGTTTAAGCGCTCTCGCGCGCTGTAAGCCTCATTTCTTCCGAGTCAAACAGAATCATAAAGTTCGTGATATGTTCTCGTAAGACTTGTGAAAACTTATATAAAGGTTTATAATTTTATGCAATATCTTTACGAACAGTTTTTAGCTAGTCATAAGTTTTTATACGAGAAATCGTAAGATATTTACGAATAATCGTACGTCTTACGTACAATACATATATAAATAGAATTACAATATCAGTCAAAAGTTCTTGCAAGTTTTACGAGAAGTTACGAGCCTTACGATTTTGCTTAGAATTTTGAACAATTTTTATTTTCTTCTTGACGACAGTTCAGTATCGTTATATTATCATTGTGCAGATATTATAGTACAAGATATTATATTATAATATCTGACAAATATGATAAAAAGCTACGAACCGACAATAAAGGCTGTGTCCCAAAATTTACTGCCAGTACTGAAAATCTATAATGCATGTGACGTAAACTATAGATTTTTAGTACTGGCAGTAAATTTTGAAACATAGCCATAACAACACTAAACTGTCATTAATGGGTAAATTATTGGATTTCACACAAACTTAACTGTATAAACATATGCATAAAAAAAAAATTATGTCGCATTTCTCTTACAAAGTCGCACGTAAAATGTGATTGGATAATTCTCTTTTCGTTTATGCGGCTATAAGAGTCAGAATCGGAGCACTGGATAGATTTCTGACTCATCTGATGGCTAATTTTTTCAGATAAGTTGCCGATAATTGTATTCATGAGATATCTTCCAGATATCTCTCAAATATCTCATTTATCTATTATTTAAGAAATTTCTCATAAAGTTATCTAGAGATAAAAAAATTGGCCATAAAGAGGTCACGTAATACCATACACTATCCTCATCACTTATTACTTGTGGAAGAAAGATAGAAACTTAGACTGTGTTCTGATACACGCTACCAATACTGTTTATAATTCAATGATTTACAATGAGATTTTAAGATGGAAAACTTAAATAATAAGAAACAATAAAATCAATAGGCTCTAAAGAAAATTCTAAAAAATAATAAATAAAATGCCAATTTGAGCCGACACTGGTTATTAGTGTGTATTTTAATACCATTTATTCAAAGTAAATATTAAACATATACGTTTCGACCTACGGTCAAGGTCCTCTTCAGTACAAAAAAATATATTGTCCAAATTACATAATAACGCATACGAGTATAAACTAATAACATAAAAAGCGAGAAAAAGCGTGGTGGTGATGTCCGAGTTAATCTTGGCCATTAAATTACTAAGTCAACTAAAAAGAAAAATATTTTTTGTTTTAAAACGATCGACCCAAAAGGTTAAAAATAATTTAAAAAATGCTAACATGAGATTATACACGAAAAATGATAAAAAAAACTCAAACAATAAGGTGCACAATAGAAGGAATAAGGAATTAGGAATACAGAATAAACGATTTCAACCCATCAGAAACCGTGTATTCCGATGTATTCGATTTCTGATAGGTTAACATCGTTTATTCTTTATTCCTAATTCCTTATTTCTGTTATTGTGCGCAGGGCCTAAGAATCTTATTAGATCCTACATGTGAAAACACAACCAATAAGAAATAAAGACCTATAATAATCGAAGTTGGATCTTTAATGCTTCAATAATTTCATGTGAATTTGTATACTATATATGTGCATACATATATACTATTTGTAGTCATTCGACTACGCGCCGAATTGAGTTCGTAAAAAATTAATTTGACACATAGTTCAAATGACTAAAAATATAGTATATATATATATAAAAAAAACGCGAAATATTATATATATATATATATATATATGTTCATATATACATATATAATATATATCAATTGACACGAAATTGTTTAAGCATCAAAGATCCAATCGTTATGAACCTTTATTTTCTATTGATTGTGTATAAAACTTAGGCTTTAAGCTTTAAGAAAGAATTGACTAATCACAGTGGAATATAAGAATAATCAATGATGAGCCAATTTTTTATTGCTTAAAGGCTATGGCACACAAAAAACTTAAGCAGTAAGCAAATTGACCACACAATCATAACAAAGGCTATAAGGCAATAACATAATTGCAAATTCAAAATGTTAATTTGCTTATTGCTTCAGTTTTTAGTGTGTCATATAATGCTTTCCAACAAGAAACAGAGATGACACCAATGGTTGCCTTTCATTTAGTGACATAAATCGATACAAATTTCATACCTTCTTTGCATTCTATGAGTAACAAAGACAAAATGATATTTGTATCAACTTGCGTCATTAAATGGAAGACACCCAATGTTCCGTTTTGCGCTTATAACTTAAGTATCATTTGTCCTTGTTTAATATTTGATAGACAATAAGAATAAACTGGGGCTTACATGTGAGCATGAAAATGGAACGCATTAAAAGTATATATGTATACACGATGAATCATTACATCCTTGTTGTTTGTCAATGCTAAACAAAGATGATCATTGTGTTACACTGTAGGTGTTTTCTATTCAATGACACAATTTTTTAAGCATCATTCCTTTTTCGCATTCAGTGAATAACAAAGAACATTTGTCAACCTGTGTCAACTTATGTCCAAATAGAAAGCATCTTGCTGGAAAGCACCAATAGTCTTAAAGCTTAAAGCTTAAGATTACTCATTGTAGACACTGCTTTACGTATAATACAATCCTATACTGCAGTTCAGTACTGGCAGTATAATATATACATATCAGAACACAACTTTACAACGCGCGAGCGCCCAAACCGAACACAGCCAAGATGATAAACAAACCGAAGACACGTACGATTAACGTTACGTTGCCTGCTTGTCCACCTTCGTCGTCAAACTTGCGTTATATTTGCGTTCAACACGATTTTTGTCGAGGAGGCAATTTTCCAGCACGTCAATGGACGCGCGGGGATCGCGGTGAATTCTTTGGAGATCTCCGTTGTACTCGCGAATTATTACCGTCACATTAAAGTCACAAAGTCTTTAACGAGGTCGCGTCGCGTGCAGGTGTTTATCGTCGTCCATCGCGTGTACAAGCACCGTGTTGTTGTGAGCGACAACGCACAAAGAGGATTTGTGAGTCCGCCGATGGTCTGCGATCACGAAGAACCATTTGCCATGAAAGGAACCGAAAGCAACCGAAAGAGAGACTGAGGCCACTGAGAAATAGTCAGAGAGGAAGAGAGAGGGAGAAAAAGCCTCGACGGGTCTCTAGCCCGAACGTTGCTGCCACGTTCGCGACAACGCGCGACATTGGATTCTTTGATGATCAAATGACGAGCGTGCCACTGTTTTCCATCGTCGTTGTCGTTTAATGATATGAAGATGCCGTGATCACGGAGCTGAGAAATCACACCAGGAATTTCGCGGGACTATACTGCGGACGACCTGTATCCAGCACGTGAGCAAATTGACGAACGATCGCTGTCCAGAACTGTTTCTAAAAAAGAGCTGCCAGATTGCAGACGAAATTGTCATGCTGACAGCACGTGGTGGGGATTGTAGAGAGTAGTGGGATACGTCGACAAGTGCTAGCAATATACACTATGGTGATAAAGAAGTTTGGAGAAATAATATTTTCCATTGAGAAAACTAGTGCAATTGAATACAAATCAATTCACATATTTTCAGTGTTAACCTTTTTATGATAATGGAAGTCAAATCTCGCAGGCTTCTATTTTTATTACGACACAGGATTGTATCGTAGATTTTCAGATTTTGTCTATATACAGATTATTTACATGAGATCTATATGATGTTTACATTGTCTTTTGTCATGTAAACAATATAGACTATGTAACTATCCCAATTACTGTGTCTGTCTCTATTAGTGTACTTTTGTATTTCGATAAGTCATAAAGAAAACTAGCATAAATAAATAAGAAAAAAAATTTTTTTTGGTTAAATTAAATTGTTAATGCATACCGAAGATAATATTTTATTTTTTGAGTATTAAAGTATTTTAAATATTTTTTGAAAAATATGAGGAATTTATGTGAATCCAGTAATACGTACCGCAAGATTTTAAGCTTGTCCCTATTAATGTGTCCTGTATTGGAGCTGAGAACGTTGTGTTATGAGTGTTACTTTGAAATAAATATAATTGAAATAATGACTTATGTAATATTAACATAAACAATTAGCTTAAATTTATTATCTGTTTTAATAACTATATGTTGAAATGAGTCAAATGTGGATAGGCACACAAATTGGAGGCACATTAATAGGGCCATCGCCGCTTACAGGTCTCACTAATAGGAACAAAAACATGTTTTCTATTTTTATCAAAAGCATTATAAAGTATTAACATTTTTTAGAAAGAAATATTATAAGAAAAAGAAATAGTTGAAAAACCGATATTGATTGCAAGCAGATAAAATTAAAGCTACAATATTTAATAATTAATTAATAGTAATAAGCAAATTGGGTAAAGAGCACATTGATAGATACAGTTACCCTAGACTACATATATTGTAAAATGCATCACTAATATGTTTTATATAATATAAAAAATTAAAAATTAAATTATAAAACAGTCTTTACACGCACAGAATAGATTTGTCCAAAATACGTCTAGGGATAGGCTATAAAAATATATGGCATCTTTAAGATATGATGTATTTTAAATATTTCAGCTATGCATGTACACACATACACATCCCTACTATAAATATAAATTGTATAAGTATTATATAAGTAAAATTATATAAATATAATTTATATTATGTAAGTATTAAATGCAAGTATTTAAATTATGTAAGTATTAAATCCATAAATTATGTGAACTCTAACTTTTTTAGGAAATGTTTGTAAATTATTAAAATTCTAAGGCTTAATTTAAGGAAAGTATAAAAACTTATGCTTTTGTTGCTGCAATATCCACAATGTACATAATATTTATTATTTCTTTTTATTAAAATAAAATCCAGTTCATTAAATTCATTATTTATTTTTCATGGCATGTTTGAAGCAACGAGTTGTATTCAAAAATTCAATTTCTAAATTTTAAGATATTAATATAAACGTTGAGCTTTAAAATTTCACTTTTACAAATATCGCATGAAGACCTGTCTTATGATTTCAATACACAGTTCAAATTTGTTCAATACACTGCACGATGGAAGCATCGTTAAACAGCTAATCAATATTTTTTCGTAGCTAAAAGGTTATAGAAAGAAATAATGGTTTATACGTTTAGGATCTATAAGGAACCAAAAGCAAGAATCAATCATATTGCAGAATTTTACAACAGTTGCAAAGCTGCTTTCTCTGCTGAACACAGCTATTAATTGGCTGTCGCGAGAATTTCCGCTGCATGGTTGTTAATTGATGCGACCTGTGCATCACATTGGTTAATTGTCTATATAGTCTATCTGCATAGATAATATACAATAGTTTACGTTGTCTATACGTAAACGTAAAATATTATAATTTACGCGTAGATGCACATTTTTACAGAGTTCATTCGCTGTTTAACGGAGAAAGAAGTTTTATAATATATATTATTTACTTCTTTTTATCCATTTTGTTATATTGATTAGACGAAATATGAATAAAATGATGCCGGATCCTACTTTTCCGGATGTCTTGAAGATTTACTTTACCATAGGAGGGTTAATAATTGATAATTTAATTAATCTCTTTTATATAAATCACTATATTATTCTTTGTTATCACAATAACCTCTTTCACAAAAAGATTAAAAGAATTAAATTATTTATTATCACTAAAAATATGTAAACCGATTTACTTTCAATTGTATGTATACATTCACCGACTAAAAGGTTGCAACTGATTTTTTTTCTATGGTTTTCGGAATGCAGCCTATTTATCGAGCGATTGGTTTTTACTTACGGATCCATAAGTATAAGAACTAATCGCTCGGTGAACAGACTGCGATCCGAAACATTAAAAAAAAAGTGTTGCAACCTTTTAGTCGGTAAGTACCAATGCATTAATTTTTTCAATGGAAAACGCTAAAAATTTTATATAACGTATATTAACAAAAAATAAATTTTCCACTGTTATGATTTCTGCACATTGAACGTGAGAACGCGACAAAATGCGGCGCATCCTGATAGCAAAGCCTACGGAGACAGATCTTGAGCAAAAGAGGCAACAAATTGTACACGGAGTTTATATTGTCAATACTATCAGACAATGTCAGTAAACTGTCCAAACAATCGATGTTCAAACGATCGGTGTTCAATCGATCGGTGTCCATTTGATCGGTATTCAATCGATCGAATTGCACAGTGTCATGATTTTTACATGCAATGGAATAATTATTAATTGAAATCTAAGGCATACATTATGCTTCGCATTGTGTCCAATAGTTCGGTGTCCAATCGATCGATGTCCAATTGATCGGTGTCCAATTGAACGTGTTCAATCGAACCGTATCCAATTGGGATTCTCCCAACTCGGGGCATCATGAGTTACTATGGATCATTGGTTGTTTAGGGTAATCCTGAATGTTTAAATTAATATAATTGTATTATATGATTGTTATTTCGTTGCTCATACTTTGTATTTAGGTGATAGTAATTAAACTCCGTTATCTCAGAACACATGTGCCGTTAATAATTTTTGTGCAAAAATAATTTTTTAACCATTAAAATTTTTTTTTTTTTTGCTTAATATTATTTTTATAGCAAAAGATATACGTATTGAAGGTCAGATGCAAGTTTCTATATATTTTTTTCGTTTTACTACAAATAATCAGAGAATGGAAGTAATTCGTTACCTGTAATAAAGTTACTTTTTTGATAACTTTATTGCGTTACTTTTTTTTGGTAACTGTAACGGTAGTAATTTTTTAGTAACAATAACGAATTTTACAGTTATTGTTACTTTGCACATGATTGGACACAGTTCGATTGGACACAAGCCGACTTATAGCGCTTGAGACTACCCAGAAAACACTGAGGTCTTGTAGACATCTAAAAGATATCTCTTTAAAGATATCTTCAAGACATTTCTAGAAGATATCTGAAAGATGTCTAAACGATATCCGAAAAGATTTTATTAAAGATATCTTTGTAGAACTTTTTAAAAAAATGTCTATAGACATCTTAAAGATATATGATCTCTCTTAAAAGATATCTATTAGACATATGTCAATAGATATCTTTTAGGTGTTTTTAAGACTTGTCTAAAAGATGTCTTTTAGATGTTTTTTAATGTCTTTATAAATAAAAGACGTATATATTATTAAAACATTCCCGAGGAGATAACTACTGAATTTTAGATAACTTTGAATTCCGGTGTACAATCTGTCAGAAGTTCGATGAAATCCGGTGGTCCGACAAAGTCCGAGGAATTCCTCGAAGTCCGATGAAGTCTGGTAAAGTCCGGCGAAGTCCGATGAAGTCCGGTGAAGTCCGATGAATTCATGAATATAAAATAAGATGCTCTAAATGAAAAAGTAAATATTCTTTATAAAGATTTTAAAGAGTTTCAAACAGAAATGAGAAAAGAAATAGTTCAACAAAAAACAAAAATTCAAGAAATACTTACGATATTACGAGAAAAATTTCCAACAAACGAATAAAATTATGAAGTAGCTGTGGATTTGTTATCTGAATTTCCATTGACATGCATTGAAGAATGTCTTATTTAAATACATTATTTAAAATACGAAGCGCCACTACGATCTGAATATTAAGATATTAAACTATTATATATATTCATTTAAATGAATTAATTTCAGAAATGATAATTACGTGTCGATATGGTTGTCGAACTTTCAACGCAATCAATCTGAAATATTAATAATCCCCCCAAATTTAATCTTAAAAAACTGTAATAAACTTATTGCGAAAAAATTGCCTCGGCCGGGAGTCAAACCTGGATCTCTTGCATTCCGTGCGGCGGAATTATTAATATTTCAGATTGATTGCGTTGAAGTCCAACAACCATATCAGCATGCATTTATTATTTCTGAAATTAATTCATTTAAATGAATATATACAATAGTTTAACATCTTAGCATTCAGACCGTAGTGGCGCTTCGTATTTTAAGTAATGTATTTAACATAAATGGTCTTGTTTCCAATCTTAATGTCTTATTAAACATTGAAGAATGATGAAGAAATTCGTAAATACATTGTAACTACTATTTTGGAATACTTCAAAAATACTAACAACGAATTTGATTGAAACTCATTAAGTTTGAATAATATATTCCATTTTGAACCGACAACGTTAGGATCATTTGCCCTTATATAGATATTCTATTTGAAATTATATTAGTTCGTTGAGCCTTTAGAAATTTTGTTAAATTTTAATATTTAAATATAATAAAATTAATAATAAATAATAATAATTATTAAAAATTAAGTGTGTGTAGTTTGTCATTAGTAATGCTCATATAAATGATGCTCATTAATTTTTCATTAAAAACATTTTGTTTAAAAAAATTGTTTGATTTGTCCGGATTTTCGTGACGCACCTTATATGTATATGTTACACATTAGTTATTGGTATCTTTTGGAAATTCTTTTCAATTTAAGTATTATTCTTATTGTAAGTATGTCAGT